ATATATATGCACATATATAAATACATGTATAAATATATAACAGTAACAGGGCGAGGTAAATATTCGTGCACATAGTTGTATCTTAAAAGTTGTGCAAAAGTAAACGAAAAGCCAAGAGTACAGAGATAGTAGTATTTACAAAATGCGCTAGAATAATATGTAATAACAAAAGGGAGCTCAGACTAATAACTACGTCTTTTAAGGTTAATAAAAAGACACATATTTAATATCTATAACGTTGTATTACATAATGTAAAATACTAAAAATAAAAGATTGGTATCGCGAGAGCATGGTAATCTTTTGAACCCCAGAACAAGCAAAATACATTTTTTTTTAAATATGAAAGGCAGAAGTATAATTGCCACAATATGGTCACTTTCAAAGCTTGTGTGTACTTGTAAATTGTAAATTTATGTTTTGTGTGCCTTTCATCAACATTTTTAACTCAATGACGTGCTCTTAAAAGGACATAAAAAGCGCTGAGCATTAAAAAATATCGATATATTGTCCAACGGTCAGAAAAATGTTGTTTTCTTCGATCTCACAATTGTAAAGAGCGCCTGTTTCTCCACCATGCAGCACATTTTCATTCTTGATCTTGTTCGATTTCAGACGGTGTGCTTTCGCCATTAAATTGTGCCCAATGTGGCATACCAGTTTGTCGAAACATAAATTACGCCTCTGATTCCTAGTATAAACCTAGTATAGTTGTAAAGCGCATAGAGCAAGCTCTTGAGCATGGATATGCGCTATATAAATGCAATTAATATTATTATAAACCTACAAAAAACCATCGAAAATCCACATAAATACAATTTTAGCGATCATAACGAGTTAGAAATGCATTCAAAGTGTGAGACATTGACGGCTCGTTTTAGGAGACAAAAACTTCTCAAAATATGGTTTCTAAGGGAAAAAAAACAACGCCGTGGATATAGCTTTTCCCCTCTTGTTGAGAAGGAAAAATACACGATCTTACAAGGTTTTATTTGTGCTTTAAGTAGTCTAATTTAAATATATAAAAGGCAACGGCTAAGAGTGAAGTATTGCAGTATTGGTTGACTGAAAACGTCAGTTGTTCAGAAGATGAGTTGAACATGTCACCTATTCTAATAGAATTATGTACTGGGCAAAACTTGACTTCTGACGCAACAACAGCTAAAAAAAACCCAAAAACAAAACCAAAAAAAAAAAGAAAAGACAAACAAACAAACTCAAACAATCAAACACCCCCGCCCCCAAAACAATAACAAACAAACAAATAAGAAAACAAACAAGCAAGCAAACAAACAAACAGAACGAATCTCTTTTTGGCGTTAGAAGTAAAATTAGAGAGAAAAGAAATAGTTGCCAAGTTTTAATGACTTCCCAAGCTTGCATGTTTTTGGTAACGACGATTAATTTAACATTTCTGTGCCTTTGATCAACGTTTTTCTGTGCTTTTGACTAGCATTTTGTTTTCAGTAAAATCCACACGAAAAATCCACACGAACATGTGTTTTTTAATGGATATGAAATGAGTTAAGTCAAACAATTTTTTGTTTTTTTTTAATTGATAGAAATTTGATCAAAATTGCTACACGGGCGTGAAAATGCTGGTTTCTTCGGTTTCACATTTTGAAGAGCGCCTGATTTCACCACGATGCCTCCCAAAATATCAATGATAACAAGAAAACATATCAGAGACATTATAGTAAAAACAAGACACTACACGATAACTGGCATACTTTGGTTCTGTGATAGAGACATATCCTTGGTGCCCTACATCCAGCCAATTCCAGATAACTTTATTAAACAATTGCTCTCTTATTTTTATCTTTTAAAGGTGAAAAAGGTGGGGGGGGGGATCGACACAGTCTGGACGATTACGGAGGTGGGTTTCCGACGTTGCTGACCAGAGGAAACTCGGGCTAAAAGGAATACAACCTCACAGCAGAAAGACCGAAATACACTCGATAAAAATTCTTCTCACTCGGGAATCGAACACGGGTCTCCCGCATGCGACAGCGAAGCGCTGAATCCCTACACCACAGACGGTCTTAATGTTTGGACAAAGATGGAAAAACGCTGGCGGTGCCGTATATATA